TTTTACGCCGCTATTCTATGTTTGTTTGTTTGTTGTTTACTCAGCAATATTCCAGCTATATGACGGTGGCCCATAAATAATCGAGCTTGGACCAGACAATCCAGTGATTAATATAATGAGCATTGATCCACGCAATTCGGATCGATGACATGCATCAACCAAATCAGCGAGCCATTGCTATTCAATAGGACAACCTATATATACTACTCAAATGAAGTTAAGAACCTCCCGATTCTATTATTACTATATTTAAACTGCCATGCCATGCTATAGTAATATGAAATAACAAATTAACATCAGTCATATGAAAGGATCGGGTGGTACGTAACTTCTTTTGAGTAGTATAGTATAACCGATACTATATGCTTTCTCCAAATCGCGAACACTTACAGTAAGTATAAAGATATGATATTATCACATTTATCAGAAATTAATAAACATTTCGAGGCTAAAGTGGGGTTTGGTTGGCAACAGTGTGTAAGATACTGATCGTGTGTGATCGTACCCCACTGCGTGGATGGTTGCTCGTGTTATCAACCACTGGTTTGCCTGGTCCAGATTTAATGAATTTAAAGCGAAAGTGTGAGTTGAGTTTTAAGCCGCTTTTAGCAATAGTCCAGCAATATCACGACGGGGGACACAAGAAGTGGGATTCAGATATTGTACCCATGTGAGGAATCGAACGCTGGCCTTTGGCTTGACGAGCGAACGCTTGAACCCCTCGGCTATGCCACCGCGCTATTAGTTCAATGAATCGCCGTGATGTAGCTGCAATACTGATGAAGTGACACACTCATATACACTACCATCTTTTCTATAAAATACGTATGTGTTAATGTACCAGATAGCGACAGTGCAATCCATCTGAGTGGACATTGTCAAACTTTAGAACAAACTGTTTGTGAATAAACCTTGAACCACTGCATATCTTAGACGTTTACCACTTTGGTGAAACCCACGAGCGCAGGTATGGTGCTGACAAACCAACAAACATAATCGGGGCGAAGCGGGACTCGAATCTACGATCATAGGTTTCTGGCGTGCCCAAGGGACGCAACTCAGCACAGCGAATTGCGGCATCTTATACGACTGGCCATCCATGCCCATTAACATTACATTAAACCATAGTCATTATGATATTAGTCTTGAAGACATCATCTAAACAGATATATCTGTTACATGACTCATTACTGTCAGTCATAATCTATAATCAATAAGAACGGTTTCCTTGGAATGCTGTATTGATTATAGTAACGATTGGAATCGGTTGAGTGATTCTCCCACGCTGTCCTACCGTGCGTGCTGTCACCAAGTGCAACGAAGGAGTGGAAGGTTAACGCCGCAGTCAGCAGTTTTCCAACTCAGCAGCCGGCAGTTAACCGAGACTCTGGAGGGAACGCTGACCCGTCTGTAATTAATAGTATTCCTTGCTTGTCGAAAGATGTCATGAAACGTTGCTCATGCTTTCAGTCACTGGTTTGTTTGGTTCAGACTCGATAAGTTTATGCCACTGTGATATAGGTGGAATGTTAAACAATTTCCACTCAACCATCTATATACAAGCGTAAAGCTTACACCCGGATCAACCTATATGGGCTCAATTAACATTGTAATGCACAATACACAATACCACATATAGTCGAATCTGCGGAAACCAGACAGACAATTTAGTCCGGTTTAGACAATGGTTCAGATTTAGTAGGATTTACGTCCCTTGCTGTCGCGGTATGAACACACAAGGCCGTGACTAAAATACTTCAAATTATACAAGAGTCAGATCCCTAGTTCAAATCCTTGGTCCTGTATTGAAAGAGATCCGGATTAGTTAGAGGCCGGTTTAGACAAATTCCACTGTGTGTTTATTCAGTTTGCAAGTTATATATTCCCTGTTCACCATATGTTACTAGGTGACCCTGTACGATTTGCGGACTTGCCGGTAGTCTTCATAGACATGATCAAATATCTCTTCATGAACAAACATTCGACGTTATTACGTTATCATAAGAACATGGAGCCTCGGCTAGCTTAGTGGATACAGCGCTAGATCGTCACGCCGAAGGCCCGTGTTCGCTTCCCCACATGGTACAATTTCTGGTTTCCCACGCCTACATATTGCAGCAATATTGCTAAAAGCGGCGTAAAACTATACTCACTCACTTCAATAACGAAGCAGCTATTCAACGGAATCAAATATAGGCTAACAAGGCTAACAAACACGGCACGTATGTCCCTTGATAACATACTGATATAGTTTCTATGAACACATCAGATAACACAGTGACGCTAGCCCAGGACTGACTGCTTGCTGTATGCCCGTTAATAAGTCACACCAATCAACAAGGGGCGTGTCAGCTATGTTGACGCAGGTTATGTGCACTGTACATATGGCCCGTGCAGCCGGGTCATGCCAACCATAGCTTGTACGACATCCACAGACAAGCTGATGGATGGGGGTCAGACCCGAGAGCTGATGGTTCTCTGTGGTGTGCATGGTGATTGATGGTGGAAAGGCACGGTGATGCTGTAATGGAAGATGGAGATTTATTGTTATTGAAATGCTTAATTCCACAGCTGCAGGGCATGCCTCCGGGGTCTATTTGTAATAATAGCTTTTTGAAAAGTCTATGGGACTTTTCGGTAATTGAATAAAAAGTGCATGCATATATTGTTAAACTTTTGTTCGTAACATGTCATATCTTTGTCTTCTTTATATTAAAGTTCCCGATATGTTGTTAGTTGTTCAGCTTGTTTTTATTTAAATCCTGAAATATATAACATAAAGTTTACCGCAATAATGGGAGGGAGACAGGGCCTACGTGCCGGTTCATCACAACAGTGGTTAGCTCGGCGACCATTTGGCCTGAATAGGCTACTGTGCTCATTTACCGTGGGAAGACCGTGCTCACTAAATTCAGCATGTGAGAGGGAAATCGCATAGTCGTACAAACACATGGTGTAAGATGAAAAAACATGGAATTAATTGGAACTATCATTGTTTATAAGAGTGTAAACATGCCTGTGTTGATTAAACATTGTTGGAAAAATATTTTAGTTTAAATTTAATAAAGACATGGCAATTAGTTGCTGCCGTCTTGATGACTCGCATACAATTTTTCTTGTGTATTGTGGCACTATGGTCGGTAGATGGAAAGTCATCGAAAGTGTTTCAGCGAGTGAGATTTAGAGTGCTAAGTGCTAGCTCCTACCTCCAGTCCTTGTTTTAGCCCCTTAATGCCGAGCGTACCTTTTTTAACGTCTTTCGGTATGACGCGGCCGGGGATCGAACTCCGGACCTTCCGCTCTCCAGGCGGACGCTCTACTCTATTAGACCACGGAGGCGGTTCTTGTTAAATGACCGGTAACCACGATTTATTGATAATTAACACTTACCGGGGAACACATTTGTGTGCAAGTATTAACATGGTAAACAGCAAGTTCACAGAGAAGCTATTAAACTTTATAAGAGTTCTGAGAAGTACTTTTGAAATGCACACACTTGCACAATGAGATATACATGTACAATGAAATTTTGAAAAATAATAACTTCTAATTTATTTCTTGATGCACAGTGAGTTTGACGTTTAACGCCGCACGCAGCAATATTTCTGCGACATGAAGGGGGCTTGTTGAGTATCGACTCTGCATCTGACAACCCAGACGTTGTGGGCAACATTCAACTCCGTCAGGGTACTATGAAACATAACCCTCCGAGCCTGACCACCCGATCCGACCACGGTTGGTTTGTTGTTTACCGCCGCACTCAGCAATATTCCAGCTATATGACGGCGGTCTGTAGATAATCGAGTCTGGACCAGACAATCCAGTGATTGACGTCATGAGCATCGATTCTTCGCAATTGGGATACGATGACATGCATCAACCAAATCAGCGAGCCTGACCACCCGATCCCGTTAGTCGCCTCTTCCGGCTAGCATGGTTGCTTTAGATCAATTCTCTCCCGGATCTTCACAGGTCGATCCAAACATACATACATACATACATACATACATACATACATACATACATACATACATACATACATACATACATACATACATACATACATACATACATACATACATACATACATACATACATACATACATACATACATACATACATACATACATACATTTTTCTTTGTGGGTCGTAATATGTCACTAGACGCAGTAACAAATCAATATGGTTCAGTTATATTTCACAATACGCACATCAAGTCATATTGTTATGTAGCTTTCATAGATTCATGATTCATTTCTCGAACCGCCTCCATGGTCTTGTGGATAGAGCGTCTGCCTGGGGAGCGGAAAGTCGGTGGTTTAATCCCTAGTCGCATCACAACATAATACTTTGACAGATGTTACTCGCTACTCGGTATTAAGGGACTAACACAAGGCCTGTCCGGATCTGACTCAGTACACTGTGTCTGAGTGGTATCCACAGTGTCACACTGAGGGAAAGTACCTCAGTGGGTTAGCACTCTTACAACGGCAGTAGTCCGGACTAGTGGAAGCAGACGTACAAACAGACACACAGACACAAACACACATGCACGTCGCTATATAAGTGAAATAATCTTGAACGTAACGTAAAACCCCATTTTACCTCACCTCACCTATTTCAGCTGTTTGCAATACTTCCAAAACGGCAAACGCGGTTAATCATAAAATTGTTCTCAACCAATTAAAGATTGAATACGTTATGTTCATAGAAAGAAAATCACCTTTATCAAACGGATATAGAAAGCCGAGTGGTATACACTACACCTTTAAAGGGATATTTCATTTCGATCTCCCATTAAAAATCATGACAACTCGTATAAATCATCTGGTTACCAAGGAGGCTGTAACTAAGCCTGTTGCAACCTACTCGAAAGCCTTGTTTCACAGACGACGTTTCAAACCGCCTCCAGCAAGTAACCTGTCATCCCCTATCGATCCAACCTGTTGTCACCTTACTTAAACAAGGGAGATAATCCACTTGCATTTTTGCCCAGGTAAACAGCGAGCCAACAGGAAATATTGCGCTATGGAAAACAGATTACCTGAAGTTCAAATGACAAGAGTCGCGTAATGGCGGCCCGTGGGGCGCATGTGAGCAGACAGGTGGAGGATGGGTCCATACATACTTTACAGGACTTTGTGAACGTGGCAGACCTCCCCACAACTGTCTCCGTGGTCGGAGGAGGGTACACAGGCAGTCATGTACGTATCTCACGCGGAGATGTGTTGTTACTCAGGTCACACCTACCTAAAGAAGTTACTCTAGCGTTTCACAGCGAGGACACAGGCGCTCGGAAGGAAATACCGTGTTCCCTTGAATCGTGCTTGAAGTTCGTTGTATTACCTCCTAAAAACAAGGGCCAGCTTTGCGACAGTCATGAATCTCTGTACACATCAGTGAGCGACCTACTTAAGGATTGTCCGACCTATTTTCAAGCCACGGAGGATTACGATGACCCCTATTTACCTGGGTTTTCAGTTAGACAAGGAGACAAGTTCCGCTTTTTGCGTACATTCAAGGACCCGCGAGATGACAAAGTTCGCCTGGAGTGCAAGGATAATAGTGGCAATGTTATCAGATTGTCAAGTGATTGCAAGGGCTACTTCCGTGTCCTCGAGGACCGGTCAGTGTATACTTTGCGGGAACTGGTCAATCAGGCCCGGGTGAGCAGACGACTTCGGCTGTCCACAGATAACGTGCAGCTCCAGCCAATAAGATTGAAGAGAATCAGTTCTACCGAGAATTCAGAGCCGAATTTGCCCCACAATGAACCACCTCCTTCCCCTTTGGTTCAGATTCCATTAACCTTTAAAGGGGTGATACACTTACGGAAGCCCGAGGAGATGTTGGAAGTTTCGCCGTGGGGGGAGTTGGATACGAGATGGAAAGTACCTGTCAGTGTTAGTTTGCAAGTGAGACAATTTTCGCAGAATGACTATGAAGTGCCAGTGAAGCAGAAAATTGTTTCTATGAAAATTGACGACTTCATTGGAACATATGAAGAGGATTTCCCAGTGGTGGCTACGATTGTGAATTATCCACAGATTCATACAGAGTTGACAAACCATTTAAAGAATGTGTCTGATGTCATAGTGCACAACGTGAAAAGCGCTAAGCGTCTTCTAGCAAGGACTAGGACCAGGTTTTACAGCATTGATAGCAATGTTAGAGCATCCTTTTCTGAATTTCCAAAATCTTTCAGATTCATTCGAGATTTGTTACAATGCCAAGCTGGTACGGAAGTACGAGTAATGGGGGACATTTTCTCTGATTTTCCCAAACCATTCTGTTTAAGATATGGAGACATCCTCCGACTAGCCAGCAAGGAACCAGAGAAGTTTAAGATGAAGAAAAGTTCCTTCAAAGAATGTGAGGTTATCAGATTTCAAAGGATAGCGGACAATGGGTATTCTGTTCCCATGCTCTTGCCACCAGATCTTGAAATCAAAACGATGGAGATAACAAGTGTGCATTCCCACAGGCCTCATTATTTGGCAGATATTATCTCAGGTGCTGACCTTCCCTCAAGAACGGTAACTGTGTTGCAAGAGGAGAGCGAGAGTAGTCTCCCCTTGCCAAGCCGGTTTCGCCTTTTGACAGTCGTTTCTGATGAGGTGCTAGTCATATCCCCTCTGGATTATTCTCAAACTCAGGCCATAAGTCCAATCCTGGAAAGTTGCATTGAAATTCCAACGAGACACATGGTGCATTTTGCCTATTCCCGAAAGCTGAGTTTCCCTGATAATTATTTTGTGTTTCCAAGGGCTCGCCATACTATTACCATCCGTGTGGAGAAGATCACAGAGGAAATGACAGATGAAATGAGAACCAAATCAAACCCGTATGAAGATGTCGCCTACAATCCAACCCAAACACCAATGAGGCTTCCTAGGTCTTTATCCGCGGGGTAAGAATCTACAAATACCTTTAAAATAGTCTCCTAAATTATTTCACTACCACCCGTCCTTATTTTTACCTATATGTATGCCTCTCGTACTTTACTAACGCATATGTCTACCTCGCCAGCCATTTCTTTCTATACACTGTACTCTACACGACCAGCATCGCATACGTATGCCTTGCAAACATGTAGATAGTATCCCACCTCACAACACACTATACCGCATGAACCTACATCTCCACTTCCCCTCAACCATAGCCGTCCTCAGAGCTGAATAAATGTCAGTCATTTCACAATTTGGGAATTGAAAATGTAATAAAAAACTGCTGACCGCTAAGATATATCATAATCCCTGTTCTACCACACATCTACCGGTTTGTCTACCTCACTCATTCAACCATTAATCATACTCATTTTAACAAAGCAACTAGCTTCACACATCCACCGTGTTTTGTGTATGCTAGATTACAGTCTCATTCCGCCTATATCTGAATGTTATACCTTTCGATATGTGATAATATCCAGTATATTAACCTTATCACTTTATCGTTATGTCATTAGAACACAACTCTTAACACAATATAAATGTCTCATTAAACCTTCATACAGAATTTGATTGATTCTTCAGGGTAAATAAAGAAGACAGACAATCTAAACAAGCCTTATACTTCATCTGGTTGAACATAACACATTCCTAACAGCCATAATAACATCATTAAGTAGTGAACATACCAAAACAAACAGTTCCATCCCAATACATCTGTCCCCTAACCAGTGACGCATACGTATGCACTGTGTCAACTTTATCACTTATTATCGATCGTCGTCCACGTGTGTTTGAAAGGAATGGGAAACTCGCCAAAGTCGTTGAACTATGCGATAGATGTGTGCAGTGGATCAAAAATGTAATAGACCAATGACTGGCACAGCCATCACAATCAGAGAATCGATACAGTCCTAGGACGTGATCATTGTCATCGTTAAGATGTGACTCCGTCCGCTTCTATGTACACATGATATCCGATTTACGCATAGATGAATTGTCTGGATTATTTAGCGTCTCAGATCGATAGTTTATGTCTATCGTTGTAACAGAGTGCAGCTACGAACTGATGTAATTGGCAATAAGATGTAGGAAAGGAGTTAACATGCCTGTATGTATACAATGTATAGTATAGACACAATATGTACATGACTGGGTGTAGGAAAGGAGTTAACATGCCTGTATGTATACAGTGTATAGTATAGATACAATCTGTACATGACTGGATGTAGGAAAGAAGTTAACACGCCTGTATGTATACAGTGTATAGTATAGACACAATCTGTACATGACTGGATGTAGGAAAGGAGTTGACATGCCTGTATGTATACAATGTATAGTATAGACACAATATGTACATGACTGGGTGTAGGAAAGAAGTTAACACGCCTGTATGTATACAGTGTATAATACAGACACAATCTGTACATGACTGGATGTAGGAAAGGAGTTGACATGCCTGTATGTATACAGTGTATAGTATAGACACAATCTGTACATGACTGGGTGTAGGAAATGAGTTAACATGCCTGTATGTATACAGTGTATAGTATAGATACAATCTGTACATGAGTGGGTGCAAGAAAGAAGTTAACATGCCTGTATGTATACAGTGTATAGTATAGACACAATCTGTACATGACTGGGTGTAGGAAAGGAGTTAACATGCCTGTATGTATACAATGTATAGTACAGACACAATCTGTACATGTGTGGGTGCAAGAAAGAAGTTAACATGCCTGTATGTATACAGTGTATAGTATAGACACAATCTGTACATGACTGGGTGTAGGAAAGGAGTTAACATGCCTGTATGTATAAAATGTATAGTACAGACACAATATGTACATGACTGGGTGTAGGAAAGGAGTTAACATGCCTGTATGTATACAATGTATAGTATAGACACAATATGTACATGACTGGGTGTAGGAAAGGAGTTAACATGCCTGTATGTATACAATGTATAGTATAGACACAATATGTACATGACTGGGTGTAGGAAAGGAGTTAACATGCCTGTATGTATACAGTGTATAGTACAGACACAATCTGTACATGACTGGGGGTAGGAAAGGAGTTAACATGCCTGTATGTATACAGTGTATAGTATAGACACAATATGTACATGACTGGATGTAGGAAAGGAGTTGACATGCCTGTATGTATACAGTGTATAGTATAGACACAATCTGTACATGACTGGGTGTAGGAAATGAGTTAACATGCCTGTATGTATACAGTGTATAGTATAGATACAATCTGTACATGAGTGGGTGCAAGAAAGAAGTTAACATGCCTGTATGTATACAGTGTATAGTATAGACACAATCTGTACATGACTGGGTGTAGGAAAGGAGTTAACATGCCTGTATGTATACAATGTATAGTACAGACACAATCTGTACATGTGTGGGTGCAAGAAAGAAGTTAACATGCCTGTATGTATACAGTGTATAGTATAGACACAATCTGTACATGACTGGGTGTAGGAAAGGAGTTAACATGCCTGTATGTATAAAATGTATAGTACAGACACAATATGTACATGACTGGGTGTAGGAAAGGAGTTAACATGCCTGTATGTATACAATGTATAGTATAGACACAATATGTACATGACTGGGTGTAGGAAAGGAGTTAACATGCCTGTATGTATACAATGTATAGTATAGACACAATATGTACATGACTGGGTGTAGGAAAGGAGTTAACATGCCTGTATGTATACAGTGTATAGTACAGACACAATCTGTACATGACTGGGGGTAGGAAAGGAGTTAACATGCCTGTATGTATACAGTGTATAGTATAGACACAATATGTACATGACTGGATGTAGGAAAGGAGTTAACATGCCTGTATGTATACAGTGTATAGTATAGACACAATATGTACATGACTGGATGTAGGAAAGGAGTTAACATGCCTGTATGTATACAGTGTATATTATAGACACAATATGTACATGACTGGGTGTAGGAAAGGAGTTAACATGCCTGTATGTATACAGTATATAGTATAGACACAATATGTACATGACTGGGTGTAGGAAAGGAGTTAACATGCCTGTATGTATATAATGTATAGTATAGACACAATATGTACATGACTGGGTGTAGGAAAGGAGTTAACATGCCTGTATGTATAAAATGTATAGTATTGACACAATATGTACATGGCTGGATGTAGGAAAGGAGTTAACATGCCTGTATGTATACAGTATATAGTATAGACACAATATGTACATGACTGGGTGTAAGAAAGGAGTTAACATGCCTGTATGTATAAAATGTATAGTATAGACACAATATATACATGACTGGGTGTAGGAAAGGAGTTAACATGCCTGTATGTATACAGTGTATAGTATAGACACAATCTGTACATGACTGGGTGTAGGAAAGGAGTTAACATGCCTGTATGAATAAAATGTATAGTATAGACACAATATGTACATGACTGGATGTAGGAAAGGAGTTAACATGCCTGTATGTATACAGTCTATAGTATAGAGACAATATGTACATGACTGGGTGTAGGAAAGGAGTTAACATGCAAGTATAAAATGTATAGTATAGACACAATATGTACATGACTGGGGGTAGGAAAGGAGTTAACATGCCTGTATGTATACAGTCTATAGTATAGAGACAATATGTACATGACTGGGTGTAGGAAAGGAGTTAACATGCCTGTATGTATAAAATGTATAGTATAGACACAATATGTACATGACTGGGTGTAGGAAAGGAGTTGACATGCCTGTATGTATAAAATGTATAGTATAGACACAATATGTACATGACTGGGTGTAGGAAAGGAGTTAACATGCCTGTATGTATACAGTGTATAGTATAGACACAATCTGTACATGACTGGGTGTAGGAAAGGAGTTAACATGCCTGTATGTATACAGTGTATAGTACAGACACAATATGTACATGACTGGATGTAGGAAAGGAGTTAACATGCCTATATGTATACAGTGTATAGTATAGACACAATATGTACATGACTGGGGGTAGGAAAGGAGTTAACATGCCTGTATGTATACAGTGTATAGTATAGACAAAATCTGTACATGACTGGGTGTAGGAAAGGAGTTAACATGCCTGCATGTATACAGTGTATAGTATAGACACAATATATACATGACTGGGTGTAGGAGAGGAGTTAACATGCCTGTATGTATACAGTGTATAATACAGACACAATCTGTACATGACTGGATGTAGGAAAGGAGTTAACATGCCTATATGTATACAGTGTATAGTATAGACACAATATGTACATGACTGGGTGTAAGAAAGAAGTTAACATGCCTGTATGTATACAGTGTATAGTATAGACAAAATATGTACATGACTGGGTGTAGGAGAGGTGTTTACATGCCTGTATGTATACAGTGTATAGTATAGACACAATATGTACATGACTGGATGTAGAAAATGAGTTAACATCCTAGCATGTATACAGGTGAGGTGAGGTGAAATTGGGTTTAACGTCGCGTCCAAGATTATTGCACTTATATAGCGACGTGCATGCACGTGTATGTGTGTGTGTGGCTGCTTGTACTAGTCCGGACTGATGCCGATTTCTAGTGCTAGCTCACTGAGATACCATGCCGCAGTTTAACATGAATATCCCACTCAGACACAGTATACTGACTCCGAGCCGACCAGTCCTTGTTTTAGCCCCTTAATGCCGAGCGCCAGACAGGGTAACAACAAGTACAATCTTTTAACGTCTTTTTGTATGACGCGGCCCGGGATCGAACCCTGGACCTTCCGCTCTCCGGGCGGACGCTCTACCACAAGACCACGGAGGCGGTCTGCATGTATACAGTGTATTGTGTAGACACAATATGTACATGACTGGATGTAGAAAATGAGTTAATATGCTTGCATATACATGTTACTGTCAATGTGTAAAAACAGTCAATTTGTAAAATGTGTCTAATATGTCTTGATATTTTCAGAAAAATCGCAACATGCATGTTTGCAGTGTATTACAAAATGTCACTGTTTGGGTGATTAGCTTAGGAGTTATGAGTTATTATGTTTTGCTTGTATACAAGTGTATTACAAAGTTACAACTTTGTGTGATTAGATGGAGAAAATGAGTGAAAATGTTTGCTTGTATACAGGTGTATTGCAATAGATTGCAGTTTGTGTGGTTATATGGAGAAAATGAGAGAATATATTTATTTGTATACAAGTGTATAACAATATATTACAGTTTGTGTGACTAGATAGAGAAAATGAGTCAATATGTTTGCTTGTATACAGGTGTATTACAATATGTTACAGTTTTGGTGATTAGATGGAGAAAATGGATGAAAATGTTTGCTTGTATACAAGTGTATCAACATATATTACAGTTTGTGTGATTAGATGGAGAAAATGAGTGAAAACGTTTGCTTGTATACAGGTGTATTACAGTATGTTACAGTTTTGGTTATTAGATGAAGAAAATGAGTGAAAATGTTTGCCTGTATAGAAGTGTTTTAGAATATATTACAGTTTGTGTGATTAGATGGAGAAAATGAGTGAAATTAATTGCTTTTATACAAGAGTATTACAATATATTACAGTTTTTATGATTAGATGGAGGAAATGAGTGAATATGTTTGCTTGAATACAAGTGTATTACAATAGATTACAGTTTGTGGTGAGTGTAGTACAATTTTAGGATGTATGCAGTACAATGTTTGGATATAAATTATATATGAGTGTGGATGCGTGTGTAGTACTAGAAGTGTGTATTAAGGGAGTGTGTAGTGGTACAGTAGTGGATGTGTGTTGTGCAATGTCTGGATGTGTCTGGTACTAGTTCAGCAAGGGTAGAAACTGGATTTGTATAGTCAGTTAACTCCCTTTGCCTCGGAACGATTGTGTAGTACTAGAAGTGTATTAAGGGCGTGTGTAGTAGTACAGTATTGGATGTGTGTTGTGCAATGTCTGGATGTGTCTGGTACTTGTTCAGCAAGGGTAGAAACTGGACTTGTATAGTCAGTTAACTCCCTTGCCTCGGAACGATTGTGTAGTACTAGAAGTGTGTATTAAGGGTGTGTGTAAGAATCAGTGTGTACTAAGTTGAAACAATATCACTGTCAGTGGCAGGACACTTTTACGCAAGTCCTGTGTTACCCAAAGTTTACGTTACACACATTCTTTAATGATAATCATATAACCTCCTTATATATTCTGTGGTAACAGGTAGGATTGTGTGGCATTTTAATTGCTTGCCTCTATCAAGCCATGTCAGCGGTCCTTTATTTTATCAACCTGTTAACATTGTTTAAATGTAGGTCCGTGACCTACTTAGATAGGAAATTTACACTAAGCGTACAATCAAACCAACACCAAACTTGAAAGTATCGTAGTTTTCAGGACTTAACAATACATCATATCGTTCACGTATACACTTGTCATCAGTATTGTAACCGGCAACGGTTAAAATGCTGGCAAATATAAAACGTCAACATCAGACAAGGTACACATGCATTATACCGGACATCAATCCGCCATCTTTGTATGATGCTACTAATAAAGTATTTTGTATCTACTTTGGTAATTAAAAAATTCATTTACTTACGAAGCATTTAATTCAAACCGTTGAGTGGGGGACAAGCCCTCCAAACCCCCTGTTGTTTTAGCGAGGCGACAAAAAATGGCGTCTGAATACCATAGGAACCGTTACTAAGGAATAAGCTCCTGCACATCCCTTACCAAAATGGCGGAAGGTGCCGTCAGAGAAAAAAACCAAGATTCCATTGGGTGTAAAAGGAACAAAAGGGGTGAAAGTTACATAAATGGATGACTGAAATTCAGTGATGTTCTGTATTCGCGAAAAGGGTAAGCATGTCTTGCTGCTGAAATTATCTTCAAGTTATACCAACTGTTCTCGCCAATGTGATATATATGCATGTCACGCTGTGTTTATGCGGAGTTCATGTTACACTGTTGCGTGTTTAGTAAGACCTTTTTCTTTGACCTACGGATATTCTACCTGCTGCTTGAATATAATACAATCTTTGGCGTAGTTTAGCCATATCTGCGTTGCGGGACACTGTCATGCGCGTTCATTACAAGAACACTGTATTCATTACTGTAGCCGGATTCTCGCCAACAAGAACAACGACGTTTTAACTCAGATCACCCGTGTACGTAGGAGGCCGGGTGTTCGCCGTCGTGTTCTGTACAGAATATATAGCATACAAAATGATCCTACAAATGCCAAATCCTTCAACGGTATTTAATTATGCATGGTTACATTTGGATATAATGTCGCAGTTCACCTTTTAACCATATTGAGCTTATCAAAACGCACATCTATGGGCCCACGCATTACGTCAGGGTTACCTGATCTCTTAGTCTATAATTTTCGGAGAAGGGATAATCTCTTATCGTTGTTTTTGTATTGAGGTGAATAATGTCCTGTCCATGGCGAACACAGTCAGTTCAGTGAACAGTAACACTAGGCGTATTCATATGCCCGAATAGTCTGTAGTAACCGTCACGGGTGAATGAGAATATTGTTCAAATACAACTCTGGTGTTACAAACAAATGGGGATGTCTTTCTTCACGGGCTTTAGAAAACTAGCGTCAAAGGACACAAGCATTTAACGCCTCCACAATACCTGCAAACATTTGAAATTCAGGGAGGATTACGGTGACATGACTCTGTCAATTACATTGGCCTGTACCGATATTTGTGTTGCTAAAACTGAGCGCCATTACCCCCAGATTATCCTGGCTCATCTCGCCGCAACTTGGCGGAAGATTTCTGGTACAATCTATACCCACACTAACGAAACTACATGTATGGCGATGATTTCTGTTCTTTATTAATGGGGGCGGTCGGGTAGCCCAGTGGTTAAAGCGTTCGCTCGTCACGCCGAAGACCCGGGTTCGATTCCCGACATGGGTACAATGTGTGAAGCCCATTTCTGGTGTCCCCCGCCGTGATATTGCTGGAATATTGCTAAAAGCGGCGTAAAACCATACTCACTCACTCACTCACTTTATTAATGAGCGAAACACCCACGTAGAATAGGAAAACTCGGCTTGCTTGTCAGCCGGATACAACATAGACACTGCAGTCAAATGAGTCCATGGTTTTTTTTAAAATATTTATATCTGACCCTGTATTCTAATGACCACACCAGAACATTCATCTAACTTCGGTCCTATTGCACAAAGCGTTCTTAGCTCTAAGACCATATTAATTCTAATATTTACCACAGACTTACGACAATCGTAGCGCTAGGTTTGCATGTGCCAATGGATCCTGGTTTCGATTTTGTTAGTGTTGAATGCATGGATGAAGGACTGACAGCTTGCAGCAGCAAATGAACATCAACGTGTTTGAGTGAGTAGGTGTGTGAGTGAGTGACTCATTGAAGTGCTTCGCTCAGAATTCGTTGAGCATAGGTATGTTGCTGACAAATCAAGCATCACGATCGGATAGTATTAGGGATTCGAACTGATCACTGTCAAGTCATCTAAGGGACGTAATTCAGCAAAGACCACAGGCCCATACGCACAACTTTACATAACGGCGTCGTGGTCAAACGGTTGTTATGAACGTCACAGTCGATGCAGCATTACACGAGGACTCTTGATTAATTCTTACATTTTATTTTGCTCTGATAAATGCGAGCAGGGACACATACTCCTCGCGCTGTTTATATTGTCCTTCCACTGAACGCCATAACTTACATACTTTGCACGGCGCTGAAGGCATTCGACCCTTGACCTTTGCCCTGACCCCTATGTGCTTCTCTCTACATTATCCTATTACTTAACAGCAATTGTAGACATGACAAGAGGATTACATGGGATTACATAACGTAACGATACACCGAGTTCCTGTCGGGTTAAGTGTTGTAGGTGGTAAGCACTTTTCAAAGCTCTTGACACAGCTGCAGCAACAATACGGTTTCATAACTTTACGCGAACCTGCTAAGCCTGCAAAGAGGATGTAGGTTTAGAGACAGATGAAAGATTATACTTGTTTAGCTTTTGGAATAATATAATCTTATCACATTCCGCTAGTCGCAAATGTGTTGGTGGAGAAACTTCTTTGAGGGTGACACCTAGTGTCATCACTGATATTCAGTCCCTTTTATCATTTTCTATCAATAATTTTCACCACTATATTGCCTTTTACGCCCAATGGAATCTGTTTCGGCAGTTAATCGAGGCTGATTATTCTCTGGCGTTGATTTGAGTTATTATTATCCGAATTTTGTGATGTTTTTTTCACATTTACGAATGGTACATGACCTCTAAAATAGATGTGTTGTTAGCCATGATCGCCCTATGACAACTGCATGGGGAATCGGAGTTCGAATTGGTCCCAACCTATGCCGGTAGTAAGAGGCGATTGAATGGACGTGGTGGTCAGGCTCTGGCATTTGGTTGATGACGTGTCAACGTACCCCGACGTCGTGGATTGCTGCTCATAATATCAGTCACTTGATTGTCTGGTCCTGCCTCAATTATTTACAGGCGGCCGGCACATAGCAGGCATATTGCTTAGTGTGAAGTTCAAAAGAAGCCACAAAAACAAAAAAAACAAAACAAAACAAAAACAACAAAATTTCTTATATCTATCCACAGTGCCCTAGACAAAGTGAAAAAGCGGAAGAAGAATCCCCTGCAGCGATTGAGTCGCGCCCTCAACCCGATAAACTGGAGACGTAGCCACGCCCCCACCACCCTCAGTCGGCTCTCCCAGGAACCCCCGACACCGACCAACGACTACGACCAACCACCAAAGAGCCCCGGGGCCCGCAGCAATGCAGGTACTTCATCATTTCACTCGGTATCACCGTCATGCATTTATGTAGATCAGGTTACACAGGCTATCAGAGGTAACTGATTGAGTCAGGTGATAGCGACAGGTCAAGTGGAAGATAAAACTGTTTATCAAGACCCGCAAGCCACTGTTAATACTACCCTATGATAACAGGCTGTATGATCCATGCACCTACTCTTTGCTGCTAACTGTATATACTGGTGAAAATTAATAACGAAACATGTATAAAGATACGTATGGTTATGACATGACATAGTGTACCTACCGCGAATATATCAACAAATATATACAGGTCATGGGCGTTGCAAGGGGAACTTAAAATGTAGGCAATCATATTTCAGTACTTATTTTCCTTAAACACTCATCACGCTTATCAAACACAAACACAAGCAAGCCATTGCAACATATCTAAAACAGAGATATCACGAAATACCCTGACCACGTTCTGTAATAACACATTTTAAGTTAATAAAACGGTTGATTTTTATATCCTCATAAAATCGTAAACTATAAATTGTCAATGCAAGAGAATTACCACTCTAGATTGTCCACCGAAACAGATTCCATTTGGCGTAAATGACAAAATAGCTATGAAAATTAATGAATGGACGGCTGAAAATCAATTATGTTCGCGAAAAGGGTAAATGAAATGTCACAAGCAAACAACAACATCGAACCAACTCATCAAAGGCAATTTTTGGCACTGGTAGTCGGGTCAACCTGTAATATAACAAAAGATCATGTAACTATAACAAACAACTGAAAGAAGAACACACTAAAGTACTTTTTAAAAATATATATTTTAATTATTTCTGTAACGATTTTAAAGTGTAAGCACTTGGTTTTTTGTGCTACGTGGTAGCTACGCCACTGCATGTGATTTTTAGAAGCTTTTAACGCCTCACAGGCAGATTAGGCTGTATACTCCATAAGGAGCTGAGAATGAAATTCAGGTGACACTGATCGATTGACCGGGGTAATAATGGAGCGCTTGGAGCATTTTTCGGGTATGGATTGGACGCGTTATAAACATGAACGTTGTTATTGCTGTCTGGTTCGTGTTTGACGTATTAAAATGCTTCATATTAACCAATCTTAGTGAAATAAGTATCGGATACCCCTTTGTAGTTGATATTTAGACGTATAAATATAACGGTACGAACGTCCCTGAGAACGGTGATGCCCAGTATACAATGACCTTTTGCTTTTCAAGAGGATGACCCCTACGAACAAATCAACATCCAGATCGGAGCCAGTCTTGCCTCAGCCAACCAAACGTACAGCCACACTGACATTGCCTCAGCAAGTGAGTATACAACGTGATGTCATCAAACTTGTTCGCATTATCAGCTCACGGTCGTTATAGTAATAAGGATCCACTTTGTTCTGGCGAAGCATATAAGTGAGTGAGTGAGTGAGTATGGTTTACGCCGCGTTTAGCAATATTCCAGCAATATCACGGCGGGGGACACCAGAAATGGGCTTCACACATTGTACCCATGTCGGGAATCGAACCCGGGTCTTCGGCGTGACGAGCGAACGCTTTAACTACTGGGCTACCCGACCGCCCCCGAAGCATATAAACTTGAAACAAGAGTATATTCCTTTACACAAACATCTTAAATGTACATTTCTATTGCTTGTTTCTCAAGGTAAAACAATTAAACCTTTTCTCTGTTTCTGTCTGTCACTTTTGTAATTGTTGTTCCAGGCGAAAAACGCAACAGTTTCTAGTGATACGCGTCAAGGAGTCGCGAGACACTAGCAATGGTAAATTGCATGCGTAACCAGAAATTCATGAGTTCGTGGTTGTGGTAAAGGTGTTTAGGTGGATGATGGATGTCAATGTGTAACGAAAAAAAATTCCTTTTAGTAGTATTCACATCGTGTTTTATCTAGAATTTTTAATTATTTATAATATATCATTCCCCTTATGGATCCTCGTTAATATTATTTTCCTTAGAAAATGAGTCGATCTATTTTAAGTTCATAAGTACATTTCGTTGGTTACACATGTAAACCTGCATGTTCCCTTCACTGCACGCAGATTGTAGAATACATTGTATTCCAGTACAGTAGCATTCGCTAGAACCTTTCATATTTATTGCCCACATGTATGCTACGGGTTAGCAAGAAGTTGCAACTCATAATAGATATATGATAAACCATGCATGCTGAAGTATTTTGGTATTTGGTATTTGTCAGCTATGATCCTGCTACAAACATGCTCAAATACATATACAGTATTACCAGGTTAAGTCGAACTTTATATATCGTTTAGGACGATATATTTGTATGACCTCGGTACAATCACTGTGTTCTCTATCGGCACCCCGCCTGTCTTGAACTATTGATAACTACATATATGTTCAAAGATCCTGACAATTTCGAGTTTACCATATGAATATAAGACGTTAACGTCAGAAAATAAACAGAATTATCTGTCGAAAATGATTCCAATGACGTAAAATGGATATAGTGGTGAAAATTATGTGAATAGATAATTCAAAATCTGAGATGACACCAGGTGTTCGCGAAAAGGTGAACATACCGGCCGCACCGCCACTCACACGATTATTAAAAGAATCATAGTCATCAGTTCAATCTCAAATTGCATGTATTTATACAAATATCATAGAACTCGGATATTTCCTGTGCTGTCTTCCCCACATGTCTTGAGTTGCCCTCCCCCAAATATCTTATACTGTCCTCCCCCACATATCCTATACTGTCCTCCCCCACATATCCTGTGCTGTCCTCCCCCACATATCCTATACTGTCCTCCCCCACATAGCCTGTGCTGTCCACCCCCAAATGTCCTGTGCTGTCCTCCCCTACATATCCTGTGCTGTCCTCCACCACATAGCCTGTGCTGTCCTCCGCCACATATCCTGTGCTGTCCTCCCCCACATAGCCTGTGCTGTCCTCCTCCACATATCCTGTGCTGTCCTCCCCCACATATCCTATACTGTCCTCCCCCACATAGCCTGTGCTGTCCTCCTCCACATATCCTGTGCTGTCCTCCCTCACATATCCTATACTGTCCTCCCCCACATAGCCTGTGCTGTCCTCCCCCACATAGCCTGTGCTGTCCACCCCCACATGTCCTGTGCTGTCCTCCACCACATAGCCTGTGCTGTCCTCCCCCACATAGCCTCTGCTGTCCTTCCCCACATAGCCTGTGTTGTCCTCCTCCACATATCCTGTGCTGTCCTCCCCCACATATCCTATACTGTCCTCCCCCACATAGCCTGTGCTGTCCTCCCCCACATGTCCTGTGCTGTCCTCCCCTACATATCCTGTGCTGTCCTCCACCACATAGCCTGTGCTGTCCTCCCCCACATATCCTGTGCTGTCCTGCCCAACATATCCTATAATGTCCTCCCCCACATATCCTGTGCTGTCCTCCCCCACATATCCTATACTGTCCTCCCCCACATAGCCTGTGTTGTCAACCCCCACATATCCTGTGCTGTCCTCCCCCAGATAGCCTGTGCTGTCCTCCGCCACATATCCTGTGCTGTGCTCCCCCACATGGCCTGTGCTGTCCTCCTCCACATATCCTGTGCTGTCCTCTCCCACATATCCTGTGCTGTCCTGCCCAACATATCCTATACTGTCCTCCCCCACATAGCCTGTGCTGTCCTCCCTCACATGTCCTGTGCTGTCCTCCCCCACATATCCTGTGCTGTTCTCCCTCACATATCCTGTGCTGTCCTCCCTCACATATCCTATGCTGTCCTCACCGACATATCCTTTGCTGTCCTCCCCATATATCCTGTGCTGTCCTCCCCCACATAGCCTTTGCTGTCCTCCCTCACATAGCCTGTGCTGTCCTCCCCCATATATCCAGTGTTGTCCTCCCCATATATCCTGTGCTGTCCTCCCCCACATATCCTATGCTGTCCTCCACCACATATCCTATGCTGTCCTCCACCACATATCCTATGCTGTCCTCCCCACATATCCTGTGCTGTCCTCCCCATATATCCTGTGTTGTCCTCCCCCACATATCCTGTGCTGTCCTCCCCATATATCCTGTGCTGTCCTCCCCATATATCCTGTGTTGTCCTCCCCCGCATATCCTGTGCTGTCCTCCCCCGCCTAGCCATGCTGTCCTCCCCCACATATCCTATACTGTCCTCTTGCACATGTGCTGTGCCTCTCCTTGTCCACCCTTGACCACCCCAGCATGTCCCCGCGAGTATCGTCCAACACAGTGGACAGCCACAGTCGCATGCGACATACCGCCTTGCCTGTTTCTCCCAACGTCTTGTTCGCTATAGTCTTTGTCTACCTAAATATTAATCTTAAACATGTTCACTTTTAGTAGAAATAAGTTGAAAAAGGTCTTTTTGTTCCAAGGTGCGGTGTAAGCTTAATTATTATCATGTGAAATTATTTAATGCATGCTTTAATTCTAGTATTCATAAATGATGATATGTTTCATAATAATATTCAGAAATTTCAACCATTGTTTTGATTCTTAAATGACCGATATTAAATGTTCTTTTGTTTATGTTTAGATGAATGCATTTCATAACCAAGCATGGCACTATAAAATATGCCAAGGTTTATACAATCTATTACAATTACCCTTTGTATATCTTGTCCATTCTGTGGCACGGGTGGCCCAGTCGTCTAAGGCGCCGCGATTCGCTCTGCTGAGTTGCGTCCCTTGGGCGCGCCAGAAACCTGTGATCGTGGGTTCGAATCCCGGTTCGCCCCGATTATAGGTGTCGGCACTATACCCGTGCTCGTGAACTAATATGTGAACTTGATAAAAATAGGTAATGATGAGTTCAAAATAGTCCATGATTGTTTATGTCACAGATAATTCAAAGAATTGCAATTTTTGTATTGATCAGTTCAATAAGCAATGTTTGTGTTGCTTCTTCTGGGTTAGTTATTTTGTATAATTTTATTATTTTATTTCAGTCATATCCCACAGAGGAGGAATCCCAAGAACAACCGCCATATGACGACTTGTTCCCTGTGGGCAAATAATGACTTGTATGTAAATTGTACCGTAACAGCATCTGTAGCCTGGCCGTCAGTCGGGAGTTGTCCTTATAATAGTAGCACATACACCATGCTGGCATGTGTGTTTGTCCAATCAGTGTGATATAGTCAGGTTCGGATATAGCGAACACCTACAGGCTCTACCAATTCGTTTTATGCGAACTTCGTTGTTTTCATACTAATAACGTTAATTTTAAATTCTGAGTGATGGAAATTGTTTGGTTACAATAGCATATTTATTACATCCCATTTTGGTTTATTTTTTTATTTTTTCAATGTAGGCTTTTATTATGGTTTGAGTAGATTATTTATTGTATGGTGTATCGTAAAAGGTCACATGATATTTCTCAGTCTCCACCATCCGTTTATTGTTGTGTGAGTGAGTGAGTATGGTTTTACGTCGCTTTTAGCAATATTCCAGCAATATCAAGGCGGGGGACACCAGAAATGGTCTTCAAATAAAGTACCCATGTCGGGAATCGAACCCGGGTCTTCGGCGTGACGAGCGAACGCTTTAACCACCTGGCTCCCAGACCGCTCCCGTTTATTGTTGAGATATAAGGAAGAGGTTACCATATCTCTCCGAAGAAGTGTAAATGGTTCAGTTTCAAGTTGGCTAGACTTGCCACATGTTGAAATTGAGGCTCAATAACAGGAAAATATAAGATAAACACATTTTCATTACCTTTTAGTAATCTAAACCATTTTCATAAGCATGTGTTTATGAAACGTTATGAAATAGTGATGACACCAGGTGTTCGCGAAAAGTGAGCATATTCTGTCCCAACGGTGGCACTGTCACAAATACATGCAAAGGCAAGTCCGTGTTCACGAAAAAACAGCCATAACAAGTAGGATAGAATTATTTTGTATTTGCATTTTAAAGAAATCCTCATTTTCGTCACTTCTCATAATAGAATCGGGAGAACAGTGGATGACAAATTACAAGGTAGTCAATGGGAGATGATAGCATTGTTATGTTGAAGTATTCCGTCTAATGAGCCCTCGGTTGACTTGGAATATAGTTCTGTCAACTCGGTTAACGCAGTGAACATATGAATGGTACCGAGCTTTATCTGATAGTTTATCATACGTTTGTTTTCTACCAGGGTCATCTGGAGTTCTGATCAAAATAACAAAATTGGAAGCATATTTAATGCCAAACACCCCTCTCTTTATAATATAGAGAAAGTTCGAATAATAGTGTATACATAGCGAGGTGTGTTTAGTGGAGTTTCGTCGTATTAAATGAGAAGTTCAGATTCCTGTGGTTCATCGGGTTACAAGAGGAGCATGCTGGCAATGTTAGGTATCAAGCCATACATACTCATTGTTACTTAACTTTAGAAAAAGAACAGAGCTTGTTAAGTGTGAGACAAATTAATCGTGCCTGAATGAACCTCGACCATGATTTTACCAGTGAACGCGATATTACCGGAAGTGGACTATATATCTTTGAATCGTTTATTTTCATTGAAGGAAAAAGTACAGATTGCACAGGATTGATTTGATAAATGCTGATTTGACATAGTAAGTTAGCTTCAACAATGAGCTTCTGGTAGTAGTTCATAGTGTGTGTGCATGTTTGCACTGTTGGTGAATAGGTAAACTATTTCAACATTAAAGATGTTTGTCAAATGAAACAATTCTTATTAAATTAACGGATAGTTCTTACACTTTGAATCAGAAACGGGTCAGTTTCAAGCCCATCCTGAATCGCCAGACCCACAACACTATATTTTTGTCCATTGAAATGGCTCTACAACCGTGAAATAAGATGATTTAGTGTTGAAACCTAATTACTTCTCGTTGCACATCTATCTCTGTACCCTAGCTGTGTCAATGAGAAGCAAACACCTATGTAATGAACACTGTGGAGCTGACAAGGTTGTCCAGAATGAGACATTGAAGAGTGCTTTCACATCTCTCAAGGATCTATCATTGCACATCATGAAATTGTAATTAGTAAAATATGGAGTCGTTTCAAGTAGTTATATTTCTTCCTCAAAAGAGAAGGTGGGTTAGCAACGTTCATTTGTAAGACTATATGGCACATATAACGTCCAATAGTACACTCGACAAATGTCAAGGTCGTATGATGATGTATGGATCGTCTATATCATGGTCACGTTTGAAGGCTTATGTTATCAACTGATGCTATATATAGACCTAGCATGCAACATGCAGGGGTGAAGGTCAACGTCATTCACACTGAATTGACCCTGAATACCTTGTACAGGTGAACGTTATTCGAATAAATTTGAGAGTATGCGGTCTGTGAACAATTAAAGATCTTGACAAAGTAGTTAAGATCTTAACTTAAGTTACAATTGAAATACCGTGTACACGTCTTTCAACTGTCCGCTGTGTTAATCCATAATGTTTATCCACTAGTGATCTGGTTAGGCACGACAAATATCTTACAGAAATGCATTTAGTACACGATATATTATGGCCAGCTTATTTCCAAGACTTTTGTCACAACTTATATCACGTTCATATCCAACAACTTATTTTCAACTACATAGATAAATATATTACCATGTTGATACTATGGTGTAACAACTTGTACATAATATATACAATATACTGTTTGTATGTACCCCGAACATTTTACTTTTTAGTTCAACACTTTATTTAACCCCGATACATATCTTCGTATTTTAATCAATGATTAATCGTTTCTCTTATGTATAAACATGCATAATTAAATGTAAGACGTCTGTTGTATCTGTACCTCCAATCCTAAAATTGTATCATTAACACAGGATTGTGTGACATTGTCGTTAATGACATTGAAATGTTATAGCGATGCAATGGAACTTTTCAAAACTGAAATGGATCAAAGACGATTATTTTTTTATGTTACTACACGATTCGACATACAACATATTAAGGTCACTATTCTACTCGACATAAACGATTTAATATTAAGGTCACTATTCTACTCGACATAGACGATTTAATATTAAGGTCACTTCTCTACTCGACGTAGACGATTTAATATCAAGGTCACTATTCTACTCGACATAAAGACGATATAATATTAGTTTCTACATTTACCCGAGATGTGTTAAGTTATATTTCACAAAGTCACAAACAACGTTATGAACTTTATATATGTGTACTGATTGTTATTGTTACTGTATAATGGTGAATGTTTGTGTTGATAAGATGAGGCATGTACATACACGTCCTATGTCTTATCACTGAGACACAGTCGTTTTTGTGTTCTGAAGATATGCATTACTCCTGAATATACGTTATGAGTAATGTTGGTTTGTTGTAAACTAATAACAATAGCGCCTATGCGTAATTCTAATGGCCACAATACTTATCGATGGTCGAGTACAATATATACATGTAAACAAGTATATATCCGGTGATTATGCAAATGTGGATGTGATGGACATATAAGACATTTTCTTGTTTCCTTTTACGTTTTAAAAATAATTGGGTAGGTAGGTCGAATTTTGATTTGATTATATTTCGATTTCCCAACCACAAAAAACTAAATTCACAAGTGTACCTAACATAAACAGTGCCAATTATTAGAAAATCACGAACAGCAATGGTAGGCGGGTTCCAGAAAATCCGGATGGGAAATAACTGTAACAGGCGAAACTGGAACAGAAGCTAGCATGCAAAAATAAATTCAAAATAATCTCGCCGATGTTTTGGGTCGGTCGGTGATCCGAAACAGGAAGAAAATATATATGTGGTCCATTGCGTTTTCTCATGTAAACAACCTATAGGCTATCATTAAAGTTTACAGACGATTGTGCTGTGATTTTAGAACTATTTTCATTGAATGTTGATTTATCTAATTGTACCAGTGTTATTTAAGCAAGCCAATCTTGTCCATCAAAGAGCATTCATACAACACTCGTGTTCAAACTAAAGATCGTTTAGTCCTGCCCGATTGTCGACTTAATAAACACGTGTGTATCGTGTGTAAGTTCTCAGCCTGGAAGAGGATTCTGAAAGTATAAGAAGGCTCGAAGATCTTCGGGATGAAAATGTCTGTTGCCTTTCACTTGCCCAAATAATCCAAGTCAGTCAAGTAATGCAGCTTTCTTGCCCAATTCCGAAGCATGTGTGTGAAAAGGTTGAAGAGGAAGAACTGGCAAGTGCACACACTCTGGTCAAGCCTGTTGCTCATATCCCCGTGCACGGACAACTCAAATCCTTGTAATGAAGACATACAGTCATGGAGCATGGTTTGCACGTGCAGTATGTATGACAGAACACATATCCCGTGCACGGACAACTCAAATCCTTGTAATGAAGACATAGTCATGGAGCATGGTTTGCACGTGCAGTATGTATGACAGAACACATATCCCGTGCACGGACAACTCAAATCCTTGTAATGAAGACATACAGTCATGGAGCATGGTTTGCACGTGCAGTATGTATGACAGGTGTCGTTTGTTAGGTGTTTTTCGCAGCACTCGGCAGTCTCCTGTTATATCACAAAGACCTGTATATCATTGGGTTTGGACCAGCCAAACCAGTGGTTTATAATGTGAGCAACGTCCCATGCCGTCGGGATACGTCGACATGCAACATTCCATGTCATGGAGTCAGACACCGGGTCACCACTGTAAAAACCCACATCTCAAACATGGTTGTTTAAGTTAAATATTACTGCAAACGTAGTTGATGTTTCTAGATAGTCACACAACAAATGCTCAGATAGAATGGCAGGGCAATGTTGAATTTAAGTCGTAGATTATCCACCATGCTTGCATTATATAATTTATTGTATACCGGGGGTACTGTTAACCCATACATCACATTGTAATCAAGTGAGCATGTGAGTTTGGTTTAACTCAGCTTGTAACAGTATTCCACTTACATCACGTGTGCCAACTTGATGAGAGAGGATAGCCCAAAGTGATGCAGGTCATGGACGTTTGGCGTGATAATCATTTTTTTTTTTTAAGGAGAATTGAGTTTTTACATGCATGACTAAGCCATGGCTGTTGTAAACTGAGTTCGGAAGAATGAATAGTTTGATTCCAGGATATTCAGGTCATTGATCACAACAGGTCAGATTAACTGATGAAGGTCTAGTCGTATTTGCGACCAGTCCATGTCAGATGATAAAAGATGGACAGTACATAGCTTGGACAACTATGGTATATGCTCCTCTTCCAGATTTTTCAGGGTTCAGGGGAGTTATCTGGACGGATGCATATTTACTGAAAGCCGCACATTGCAATGGAATGATGTTGAAAATGTCTGTGAAATTGGGTAGGGAAATACATATGGAGCAAAATGTGTTGCTTTCGCATAATAGAACCCTTCTTAAAGCACCATTATCAATCAAAATTGGTGTCATCGGATATATAAATTGCTAGCGGCTGTATCAGAATCACGGTCGTGTTCTGCAACTAAGTGCCTTTATTGTATACCCTTCTTTGTATATTGAACATTAACATGGTTATGTTTTTTTGTCTATATACATTTTCGTGTATATTATTCTGTACTGGTGGTATGAAACAACATTTTAACAGAGAAATTGTTTAAAAATAACATGAATCTGAAATCAAATCTGCCGAATGAATGTTGCTACTACCTGAAGCAAATAAAACTTAATGATTGATGAAACAGTACTTGTTTGTGATGTATATAATTTGGACCTCCCAAAACGTTTTATTGTTTTAGAACAGAACCTTTCAAACCAACACTCCAGTATGAAAATATGTATTCGGGTTCAAAAATACCCACACCGTTTTTATGTCCGATGACATTGTGGAGACGTCGAAAAAGTCTGCAGAGAAATGTGCGGAAGGGCCGTTGGCAGGACGTCTGTAACTGTTCGGATTTGGGTGTGAGGTAAATTGAAGGATGTCGAACGCCAGTCATCTTTATTCAATCGATATCACTGTGGCCTGTTGGTAATCGAGTGTGGACCCTGTTGAGCTGTTCTAGCGGGTGTGTGGATTGATCAAACTTCACGATAGCCACACATCATTCATCACGTTCATAAACATTAGTAGATGGAACATGATCAATTTACACTCACTCACTCGAAAACATTAGTCAGGTACATATATCCAAGAGCCACGATTGGGTCCAAACTCAAGACAATGTATTATCAGCTGGGACAAACCTAATTGTTGTTTCATTATTATATTTAACTTGTCACCACATCATATAGACAGGATGGAAGTTTTCAGACCACCATACCATGTCTGCTTTAATCACATCAAATCAACTGACAATGTTATTTGTGTAACCTAGTCAGAAATAAAAACGAATGCATTTCCACAATCCCTGATTGAAGCACAAGTTAGGCAATTTATTGGTTTTCAGGATGAGCCTATGCTATTTGCGAACATGAACGGAAAAAATAATTAGAATTACATCACCATATAATCAACATTAAATATTAAACAATTAAATAATTGTCTACTTAACATATTGTTTTAGCAACATCCCATCAATATGTTATATACTGCACTGAATAGTCTTTCATTTTGAAGCAAAGTTTTCTGTGGTAGTATGTCGAGTTACCTCCCCTATACTGAATCAGTTTGACTTGGTATAATTTGCTCTATCAATAAGATACTCAAACTTCAGCTTGTATTAAACATTTCTTTGACTCGGTGAAACATCTATTTAGCACTATTAAACAATGCCTTGTAGAAACACTTATTCAGGATTAGTGATGGTGATATTACACACAGAATTACCAGTAACATTAAGGCAATTGTGATAACAGTAATTTGGCTATCCTCCTCTCCTGCACCTTTCAGCATGGAGAGAGCACATTATGCTGCCTGTGTTGTGCTATTTCCTTATTAACTGGTTGAAGGAATAGTCGAAGGTGTACTTCAGTTCTCTTCTAGAGTGTCTAGCAACAACCATGACAAGGCCATTGGTTCTAGGGGTACCAGGAACAATTATCGGAGCCAGTGAAGTTTTACAGTCTTAAGCGATATTCCGGTTCACACATGTGAATCAAACTAATGACTACATATTAAACCCATGCTTAAACCACAAGGTCACCCAACTGCACCAATTTGCAGAATATATTAAGAAGCATACTGATAAAAGGGGACGCATGCCCCATAGAAAGCCATAAATGCCATGACAGCCACTTATTCTGAGGCAGTTTAGTGAGCACCCCAGATACTTTTCACTACATACTGACTTTGAGTCAAAATAGGAGTAATTGTTAGTAAACTCTATAAACTTCCCTAATAGTAAATTGAAATGAGCATCAGAAATTAAAATGCTTACATACTGAGACCCAGGAAAAAGGTATTTTTAATCAGAGGGTCAGAGTTCAATTATGGCAGGATATTAACTCCCACCATACACTTGATGGGAAAATATCAGTATCATCCGAGTATGCAGATATTTGGATTTGTACTGTACAGTAGGTATGTTTGGTTACATGTATATAAAGATATTTTGGATGAAAAGGTTGAGGTCATTGCCAAAATTCTTGCAAATTACATTCAACAGGCCAGGCCACAACACACTATTTCGTTAATTTGATGAGAGGTGAGGTGAAATGGGGTTTAACTTTGCGTCCAAGATTATTGCACTTGTATAGTGACGTGCATGCACGTGTATGTGGGGCTGCTTGTACTAGACTGAACTGATGCCGATTTATAGTGCTAGCACACCGAGATACAGATACCATGCCGCAGTTTAACATGAATACCCCACTCAGACACAGTATACTGACTCCGAGCCGACCAGTCCTTGTTTTAGCCCCTTAATGCCGAGCGCCAGACAGGGTAACAACAAGTACCATCTTTTAACATCTTTTGGTACAACACGGCCACGGATTGAACCCCGGACCTTCCACTCTCCTGGCAGACGCTCTACCAGTAGACCATGGAGGCGGTCAATTTCATGAGAGAATTTGATGTGTTTTGTGTCATATTGAACAGTATTTCAGTTATATCACGGTGTGTCAACTTAATGTGAGAGGAAAGTAATGCAGGTTTGGAACATTTTTGTAAGGTACAGTGAAATGGGGTTTAATAATTAATGTCACATAAAATATCATTACACTCATATCGACTTGCATCCAATAGGCTGGTTGTAGTAGTCTGGACTTTTTTTTAGCGCTTGTCCACAAAGATAACATGACAGAATTTAACATGGATATCCCACTCAGACCCATTATACTAACTCCAAGCTGACCAGTCCTTCTTTCATCCTCTTAATGCTGATGCCAGGCAGGGTAACAACAAGTACCATATTGTGACATGTTTTGGTACAACAGAGGCCAGGATATCAAACCACAGACCTTCAGCTCTCCAGGCAGACCCTCTATCCAATACAACACAGAGGCAGTTCCAATTTGGTGACATCCACAAGCACTGGCATATTGATGACCAAAACGATGTTCAGAATCAGGGCAAATCTGGGATTTGACAAAGGGACGTAACTATGCACAGCAGTGCCTAAGTGACTCGGCCACACGAAAATGATGAACTAAAATATGCTACGAATCTGAGCAATCTCTGTTAATATAGATCTCTGTTAGCATGGATAGTTTAGAAAAAAAACCTTCAAACAGGAAGGTGGAAGGACATGACTGATGGTGGACGGACAGGACTGTATGTCTAATTGCTATAACAACTCTAATGGTCTGACTACTTGAGCATGTTGAGCTATAAATAGTCTGGATCCTTCATTTCTCCACTCGAGGAGGAACACAAAATAAAACGAACACCTTTTTCTAGTCGATACGATTTAATTTATCTTTTTAAACAACAAAACAGCAAGCTCTCTGCTTTTCCGGAGTGACTCACACACTTGTACCAATTGTTCACACTACATATCTGAAACAAACACATAAAAAGTCCATTATTACAGCTCTCACTGGGAGAACGGTCAATTGGGTTGAGACCCGCTTCTAGATTATAACAGTAATGTCATGATATGCACATAATCATTAACAAGAGGGAATGAGACTCAGCATTGCTCTTTAGTGAACCTCATGAGCATGGCTATGATAAACATAAGATCATACGCAGGGTGAATCTGTGATTCCAACCTACACTCCAGGGACTTCTCAGAAGTCTGCAACAAATGTCAGTAAAAATTCCCAAATTGGTAAAAACATTTCCCAAGTCATGCTGTTATAGTTACAGAACCACTATAGAGGAAGAGGTTTGAATGCTTAGTGTTTAAATTCAATGTTAAAATACATGTACCTCTGAAGTTAGGAAAAGAACTTTTGAACAAAATCCAAATTTTGAACAAAATAACTATTTCTCCCAATTTAGCGGCCAAGGGAACTTAGTTTGAATCCAAGACAAACACCTGCAATCAGTGGATGCTGGCACTACTATAATACAAAGGTCTGCAACTTAAGCCACTAATCAGTAGCCCAAGTCTAGTAAAGTTCTGTTTCGTCTTGTAAGCTCAGCTGATAATCATGATAATAGTACATATAAAAACACTAAACATGCTAAATTCTACTGAAAACATGGAGTCGTCAGATGATGTATTTCCCCTTCTGGTGCAATCAGGAAATGAAGTTTGGCTAGATTTACCCCACTTTTGGTTCGTTGCCGTTGGATACCTTCAGTTCAGTGAAGAAAACAATAAGGCTGTTCAGTACTTTTTCAATGTCCAAAATCATCAAAAGACACCAATTCAACACTAAACTGGTTTGTATAGCAAGTTTCATCATGAAAGTTTCAACAGTTGGGGTGTTCTGCTCCAGAAACGAACACTACCCTCATTTTCAGTCTGGATGGATGGACATGCTAATCGATATATACCCCTATTTTCAAAATTAATGACGGTATAATAATGCTACTTCCCAAGTTCGGGCCAGTAGTCTCAAAAGTGTTTGGCAAAGGGATGCATAGACAACTCTGGCCCTGTAATGCGACATCAAGGGTGTGACATACTACGCTGTACTTAGCAGCCTGGTATGTAAGACAAAAACATTGCAGTCCCCTGTTGCTAATTCTTGAGAAACTACAATCAAACTTTCTAACCTAGGTATTTCAACAGGAAGCATCTTTAGCATGTCATTTGTTTCAAAAATGAAAGATAACTAAGATCAAGATAACCGAAACATAAACCTACGTCCAGTTATCCTGTATAATTCTATTTCCAGTCTTCAGCTGTCACACTTCCGTCAGGTCGTATTGACTGGAACACTCCGGCCTTGATCATTCTCTGGTAGTGGGCCTTTGCGTCATAGGTCCTGAAATAAATAGGTCATCACAATAAATCATGCCCACATACATTGCTTACAGATGACCGATGACGCTCCACAGCATAATAAGCTCACAAGAACCTCCAGCTTGAGAAATTGAGTGAGCGAGTTGTGGTTGTTTACAACAGTGAACAATATTTACAACAGAGGCGACAGGAATAGGTTTCACACATAATTTATAACAAACAATTTAGAATCTTAGCTGGGTCTCACGTTTGAACATGCTGAACATATGAACCACCATCCCTCTGACTGAAGAGATCTATGTTCTAACAATGTGTCATGTTCTTTGATGGAATACGGTTATCATGGAAGTAGCAAATGTAATCAAGATAATTAACTATTTAATACAAACTAACATAAGAATATGAGTGAGTGAGTGAGTATGGTTTTACGCCGCTTTTAGCAATATTCCAGCAATATCACGGCGGGGGACACCAGAAATGGGCTTCACACATTGTCCCCATGTCGGGAATCGAACCCGGGTCTTCGGCGTGACGATCGAACGCTTTAACCACTAGGCTACCCGACCGCCCCCATAAGAATATGAACAAATGATGAACACATGAAAGTTAAAAAACTAATTGAAAGACATGTAAGATTTTCATTTCTTTAACCGATCATGATTGGGTCGGAACAAAACACAAAGTCATGATATCATTAGCATCACGACAGTAAGGAGCATCATGATAAAAGGGAGACAAGCTGATGATGAAAGATAAAGGTTTATGCTCAACAATGGTAAACAAAAACATGTTCGAGTCTAGAGTCTATGATTTTTGGATGGAAAAATAAATGACCCATTATCATGGGATGTCCTCATATCTTTATTGAGCAGAAGCGAGAGCCAAGATCTAATTTTAATGAAATTGGATTTTTCATGTCGACAGATCTGTAAACCAACAACAAAGAAATTAACTGCCTCATTCAACATGTCAAGACAAATAGAATATGAGATAACGGTTTGGGGCAGAGTATGGCAATGATAAACTTACCTGTGGAATTCTTCATACTTCTTAATTCTGACATCGTTTATGGTAACTTTGTAGACAGCAGTTGCAACTATAGCAAGAGCAATCCCAATGCCCAGGTCCTTCTTCACCTTTGTCCTCAGAAGGTTGCGGAGTTGAGGCACTGCAGACATCTGTAGCCAACAATTTAACCATTTTAACAAGCGTTTTCTACATGGGGATTCTGACTTGCTTCCCAGCAACCTATGCTGGTCTTAACTGGCCGCTACATGGATTGGGTGGTCAAACTCGGTGACTTGGTTGATAGCGTGTCATCAGCAGGGATGGAACTGAACTCAAAAAGCATACAAGCCCACAAGGAGAGTGGATTTTTTTTTGCTAGCCCTTTTAGAATAAAACTTTCAAATTTCTACCTTTAAAGACTCAAAAGGTGACAACGTACAGCATGGCTGGGGATAAATAACAGTATTTGTACAATTATAAAATTAATTCATCCGAGGTAAATTTTACTAGCCTTGGAAAAGCTCTTAATTTCAGGCAGCTGTCATATAGCTAGAATATTGCTGAGTATGGCATTACACAACAAAGAAAGAAAGAGCATTTACTTGGTTTTACTAAAACAATTAAAAAGTCACCAGGATCTAATACAGAATTCAAATCCTGAGTCTGTCGCAAGTGTCTCACAATGGTAACTTATGAGGGACAAATGAAACCCAATTGGGGCTTGAATGGGTTTAACTTGTTTAACATGCCTTCGAAAGGTATTCACCTCTATCACATCATCTCGAAATGAAAGTCAACTTTACCACTTATAGCATGAATTAATTTATGAGATTGGTAAACATATTTAACTGATAGCGAGACCAATAACGGAGAAAAGGTTATAATGCTTGGCCTTGCATTAATTATTGCATTGAATGCAATGTTAAAATACATTTGAATTTAAGCAGCTGGGAATTGAAAAATCATTTTATTCCCAAATTGCCTTCCAAGGGCACTTAGTTTCAAAACCTTGATACATCCCTGTAGCTATGTACCAGTACCAATCTCGTTAAAATCAGATCTTTTACTTTGATACCTTTAGCGTGAATATAGGACAACATTTCTCCATAGGAGTGCTGTTCTTGTGTTCTGGATATTTCATATATCCTGCCTTTAGCTATTGAATTCATTCTTTGGCAGAGATTGATATTATCAAATGAAAAAGGTAGATAAATGAAGCTAAATTGTTTTAGAAAGCTGACATCTGATTGTCCCAAGAAGCCACACATCCCTCATTGTGATTAGGTGGTCGAAGTTCGTAGAATTCTAAATGCTCAGTTGGGGTTCCCCTGAGGCAAACTTCTGTGAAGACAGACAGGTATCGAAAAGGAGATAAAGATTTGTTTTAATGAGTGTGTTATTATTTAACGTCACATCGGCAGTAGTTCAGCCATATCGTGTTGTTTTAATGACATTGGGAGCAGTATCCTTGTGTACCCTATTTAAAACAGTTAAAACAACATTGCTGATATTTCGAGGGATAAGTGAACCTACTGAATCAAAACGTAAATTTGTGTTTATACAGGTAGGGGATATCTTTAACAATAGAATTCAGCTATATTCGGACAGAAACAAAATCCTAGATAAAAGGCAAGATTTCCATTGCCTTTTCTGTAAACTTGCAATGAACTTGTGTGACATCACCTGTTTTAGGTATTTTAGCAGGTTTCCTTGAATGAACAGCCGTGTTTTGTTGTATAGTTCTCAACTTGGTATTATGATAAAGTAAATGAAAGTTTGAAACCGATTCACAAAATATGAATGTTTGAATTATAGTTTCACAACTATCAATCTCATTAAAATCAGATCTCAGTTCTTGCTTTCGCTAAACAAAGATCTGAGGACATCCCATTATTGGTCACGTCAGAACGACCTTTCATCCAACCAATCACAGAGTCGCTTACCAGATCATGAAAGTGACAGTCGTAATGTGTTTTCTAATCATGCAACCATGATAATATTTAAAACAGGGTATTCCGAACGATAGTTACAGGTATTATGATTATATCCATACAATCTAGGCCATCTATAAGCCATTCCAGAATGTTCTTCTTATCTGTTTTAAAATTTGTAAGGGAGAATATGTCAAAATATGTTTCGAAGCGTAGTCGCCAGTTTGAAACTAGTGTTGTAAGGTCGAGAAAGCTGCCCTCTGATTGGCCAATGTTGATTTCTTGTCAGTCATTCCATTGGTCGGTCAAATTTCGCGAAAGGTCATTCTGACGTGACATGTAATGGGATGTCCTCAAATCTTTGTTTAGCGGTAACGAAAACTAAGATCTGATTTTAATGAGATTGCACAACTATTAACAAAAAAATTCAATAATGACGGTCTGTTCTGATAGGTGTTCAGCACTTCACATGAACCCAATGTTGACAGGCTGGAAGTGTGCACTGTCAAGACGGCAGCTTTGATGAAATCACGCCTCTTATTATAATGCAACAAATCACTATCAATATGGCTGTTCGAAAACAGGTGTTGTTAAAAAACACAGGACATGACGATATACATATCAATGATTTTGCTCCTATTCCACAGTTAGCAATATTTCTAGTTTGCGTTTGGGTTTCTCGGCAAGACAATCCTGTGGCTTATTTGCATGAGCACTTAAATTGGCTTCATATAGTGGTAGCTAGTCACACTTTTGAAATGAGAAAGGCCTACCCCGATTTCCTTGTCTGTCCTTCACAGAAAACTCACAAGGTGAATAAGTCTAGATAACTTTTTAATAAATCTGGCAGAGCACTAATCGATACACTACATGCTTCCGATGTCAAACAGACCCCTTTCTGCTTTCTATTTTTTTTAAAATCGCCTTTCTTAATAATGCGATACCTGTACACACCACCTTGCTCAGATGCAGAGGCGTCCGATTTGATCATACTTGTTAATATGCCAGCCTTCGTAGATTGTTGTCACCGTCAACAGATATGCCCTATTTATATCAAATGTTTATTTTTATACTGTTTGCACTTTGTAAATAGGGTCATAGAAAAGTACGTGCAAATGGAAAAGACGACAATGGTCTACGCACTGCCGCAAAAGCATGCACCTTGAAAGACACACGACAATCAAGATCTTCAATGGTGAAATAAGTTCACAGAAATACGTTGTCGACATAATTATCATTAACATATAATCTATGACCATTGATGAATCTACTTCAATTCAAAACCATTTGATAACACAGAACTGAATTAAAATCGTACCCTGTATGCGAAGAAACGTGATTGACCTTCACAAACAAAATGTTATCGTCAATGGCCGCTGATCACGTGACTTTAGAAGGGACGTAACTCCGGTTATAACCATTATAGAAACCACTAAAATCAACCCTGGAGACTCTCTGGAGCATTTTAATACGCTTCTTAAAATCATTCACAGAAACTTTTATATTTTATACTATCTTACCTAAATATACATTGGTTTGAGTCTACGCCTTGTCAGTTTGGGGCCCCCTTCTACTGCTGTCGAGACGTAATGGTAACTAAAATGTTGTTTAAATTGGCATTAAACCAAACTCACTCACATGTGCTGACGGTTAAAAATAACGCTTTCTTTAACCGTATTGATGTTTTACGAAGCACATCTCGAAAGCTTCCTATATTTTAAACTGCTCCGGGGGCAGCTCTGGACTAAGACGTAAGCATTAAATATTTTAAAGTTTTGAAAAGGGTGTTTCTTTGCCACAAGTTACGGAATTTAATATGAACACTTTATGAAAGGCATCGGACATGTACACTTAAAAATTAGCTCTCAATAACAAATTAATAACGTTATCAAAACGTCACTATTTAGACTGAAAACAGTTGCTGAAACACTGGGAATTTAAAGTAAAAAGCACAAGGATGATACCCTTATCAAATGCACCACCATCGAATAACCATTTCTGTTTCATGTTTCTGTTGCCAGGCACTATATTTTCGTGTCTAAATTCGACTGTCGTTAACTAGACTATGCTTAACTGGGAAAACAATCGCATAAAAACTTAGCACAAAGTTGGCCCCGAGCCATACCTTATTCACCATTAATTGATTCCTGATAACTGAAATTGTCTGAAGAAGAAATTCATGATGATTCGTTACATGTTCTTGATCCTCAAGGACAATTTGGTCGTGTTGCCAGACAACATTCCTTGTGGCCAATGGATGCTAACTGGTAAAAAATAGGATTTAAATTATCAATGAATACGTTCATTTCCACCTTACCCATGACGATCCGGGTTCGATTAGGTCTAAACAACCCATGGTTGATGCATGTCATTGTATCCCAATTGCGTAGATCGATGCTCATGATGTCAATCACTGAATTTTCTGGCCCAGACTCGACCGCCGTCATATAGCTGGAATATTGCTGAGTGCCAGAGTCCACAAATCCTCTTTGCTTAACGTATGGGCCAATGAGGATCGAATGGTTACAACTGATTGTGTGTCATCGTAGTCCGACATTGTTGATCTTTGCTCATGTTATTAGCTTCCAGTTTGTCTGGTCCGAACTCGATTATTGTCGGACCGACGCGATAGACAAAACTGGGCTATTGATCCACGGCGGGGTAAAACAACATTCACACACTCATCATCCGATCAATCCATCCTAATCCACGAGTCTCCCCTGCCAGAGCATAACATCAACGGTATCATGGAGTGAAAGCGTATATCCCAGCTGTGTTCGCGAGATCATAGGTCTGCCCTATCCCATTTCAAACGAGGAATCTGTGAGGCGCCAGTATCAAAGTTCAACCTCATTAGGGCCAAAATACTGACGCGATTTTATCTTTATAGACCAAAAACTAAAGACAAAAGCGTCAAAAATATTAAAAAACAACAACCCCAAAGTACAGATCTCAGACAAAATGCCCAGTGTCGGAGAAAAGAACCCCTTCGTGTCATACGGAATGTCCATCATTTATCATTTACACTTATTTTTTAAAGAGAAGTCCGAGAGTTATGATCATTATGGAACTTAGGACCTTTTTGTACCGACGATACATTAAAATGTCAAATAAACAAAATCAACATAAAAAAAGGACTACAGCTTGTTATTATGTAAACGTACAACTATACGAGCATTGTCTGTTCTTGGAGAGGGCCAATGACTGGTGGAGTCAAATTACCTCAAACCATCCCAGGGAGTATTGTGTGGCTACGACATACCTTGTATCGTATGGCATAAAACTGTAAAGGGCAATTGCGTAATAACAAAAGAAGATGGTACTTTTTTTTAAAAAAACAGAATGATGATATATCAGTTAACGGTAGTTACAGTCGGGCTGCACAGGGCGGCAAGCTGTAACTCGACCAAACTCATCTGTAGATCATTCAGTTACAGCATCAGTTTAGAACATCACAGAGAAGATACGAGTCTCTTCGTCTCGGCATAATGTCTGTATGTGGGTTTCAACTCGGTATAAAAGTATCAGGAGACAATTATACGAGGGTGAAATTTGTAAAAAAATATTACAAACCCGCATGTAATGTTCACAACAAAATGGCAAGTTTCTATACTTCACGAGAGCACATGAGACGAAGACTGGCAATGATGTGTACAGCTAGCCACTAAATCACGTCACTCAGAGCTGAAATCGATCTCTGCGTTGTCACTTTCCCCTATTATCGAGGTATTCATGCGAGTTCCAGGAACCTGCAGACGTAATATGGACTGGTTGTGAGATATCGCCCGATGAGGCTTCAATAACTCTAATTTTATGTCCTATCTCCCAAAGTTTTTTTCTTAATCAATAGGAAAATAACAGAAAGTCGATTTGTCCCAAGGCATGTATTTTTTATTTTGATATCCGCCGAAAAAATTATTTAATTGACAACTGTGAACCTGACGATGAACATGTGGGTTGATTTCTTTGAGCGACTAACGTTTCGCATAAACCGCTTGTCACCAGCTATCCCATCCGCGGCGGTGCCTTAATTACGTTAGGTGGGAAACGTAAGAAGCATGGGTCCCGCCTTCGCACGGTCTGTCTTTGAAAAACGAGCCAGCGTTCGTGGGGCACATTTTGATGATGGACGGTAGCTCTTACAACCTTTCATCTACGGTTCCGATCAGCTGCCCATGCTCCAAACCAGGCCCATGTGCAAATGAGACGATCGCGACGTCAATTTCCCCCTTCATGGGAAGAACGCTGCATGCTCCTATGGGATCCGAGGCCACTTCTGGACTATATCAGCGCGATGGGGGAGTCCAGGGCAGTGCAGACAATGACCGCTACAACCATTAACACCCGGTCATTGTATATGTTCAGTAGCTCACTTAAAACGTCAACAATAACTACTGATTTTAAAAATGGAATGATATAAATACTAACAAACTGTATTTTTGAGACACGTGCTACAGCAATCAACAAGTCGTTTATCTTAACCCAATTTTCTATTTTAATCACCTTAAGGTTAAACTACTTATTTGGAAACAGTTTATACACTTGCCTATTGTTCAATTAATCCCTTTCTTGCATGACGGTTCTAGGTTTGTCAGCACCAATACCCGTGCTCGTTACCAAAGTGGTAAACGTTTGAAACCTGCATCACTTCAGGCTTTCCTCCCACTTTAACATTACACGCCGTGATGTTAGTGGAATACTGTTCAAAGCCGCGTTTAACCAAACTCACTCACCCACTCACTTTATTGTAGGTTCGGGTTAGCTTAAGTATGAAATTATTTTCCTTTCAAAAGAAGTCAAAGAACACTCATTTCTTTTTTTTAGAATTAACATCCAGAATCGAATTCAAAGCTGCTTAGCATATCCAACATATTTCAAATTATTAATATAGTTAATTTGTAATGGCACGAAGTTTAACTATAGTAATATGAATGAATCGGGTGTTTTTTAACTTCAGCCCCGGAATCTCCACAGTGGTCTGCAAAGCTACACTACTTAAAATGGTTTTTTAACACTATTATATGATTGAATTTTGATATGAATATGTCTTGGTTATCATTAAATTGAATAACTTAGCAATGTTATACATATGCCTGGTCCAAATATAGAGATACACAAACATCAATTATACAGATGTATTTTAACATATCTTTACATATCCAGATCTCAAATAATAAACATATTTCAATCGATTAGTCTTTATTTTAAATATTAACAATTTGACTTTTTCGTCAGTGTTTACGTGAGTATGTTGCGTCGGGTTTGTGTTTTATCCTTAAAATAATTGTTTCACGATGAAATGCACATTAACATGATTAACGTTATCTTAATTATCTTAAATTAATAGCTGACAAATAAACACAAAACATAGGAAGCGGGGCTGATTATATTTACAAAAATGTCAGGAATATCATTTTACCCAATAACTATACTAGTGATATATAAGGGCAAAAGTGCAGAAGAATTCAAATACCCGAATGGCTAAAACGTATTGTATATGTCCCTCTATGGTCATATATCCATATATCATTCAATGTGTCATATATGTCTATATATCATTCTATCTGTCACATATGTCTCTATATGTTATATTCGTAATAAAGTTCTTAATAATAAAGCGATACACGCCAATGTCCTTTTTCTAACCCCGAAGCAATTTTATATCGATGAAAAACAACACACACCAAAATTACACGTGGCCTTGGAAATAACAAAGAATAAAATTCAAAGTCGGTTATGGTAATTGAACCAATTTATTAATACAATTGAAACTGGGACACTGTCTAGTAAGGCAGACGGAGTGCCAACTTTCGGTAAAGCAATACTGAAATAGTCTTGAGGGAGCAGCTATATAAAGTAATAATTGCTACCGCGCGTCTCTACCCTGGTTATGACATGGGGATAAGTGAGTTTGAGCCAAATTAGACACAGTCCAACGTCCAGAAGATATGGGCTGTAATGCTGCGGAGATTTCGGTCCAACCACGGCGACCTCTTATTTCAGACCTGTCTGTTACTACCGCAATAACTATGCAAATGCCGCAGAGGTAATCGCATTGGACCCCTTTGCTGCCGCGGTCCCAAATGTAGATTTCTTAACCGTGGTTCCAACACTTTGGATTTGGGAGCGAAAAGAATCAATTAATTTCTCAATCCTCGAATTAATTTGCCCGGAATCTAATTCGACTGGTTGCTAACGGGTTCCAGGCGTGCTAAGCGAACGCGCGTCTTCCACGTCTTGCCGTCTCACGTTTGAAGGTAGCGGCTCCCCGACCCCCGAGTCTGACAAGGTCACGTGACTGATGGCGGCGGCTTTGAAGCTGGGATGGGATGGCTGTCTGAGACGTCTTGCCTTGGTCCGATATCGGGCTATGGCGAGAGGCTCAAAGATATTGAGTTAATCTCCATTTGATAAAACGAGCTTACT